AGGCTGAAAAATCAGAGTTTTTTTTTTTTTTTTCAAGTTTTGCAGATTTAACAAAGTTCTTCAAATTGACTAATGATTCGAACAATAATTATCGTGCTAGCATTTTGAATCGTAGTATTAACTATTTTTGGAAAATTAAATAAAAGAAAGCTTTCTCTTAGATATTTTATCTATATCTTCTTAGATATTTTATCAATATAGGTAATTCAATTTATTCTTTTACAATCCACATGAAATTACTATTATATATAATCTTTATGCATATGAATATTCGATTGGTAAAGTGCCTAACACCATGAGATAAAAGTTTGTTATTCGATCTGTGCGACTCGCAAAGTCAACTCAATTATGACATGTGAAAATTAGGATTTTTTGCGCTCGCTACTGAAACGCACTGTACTAAAAAATTCACCTAGGCGTTAGATGCTGGCTGATTGTCTCACATTTGCATGAATCGGTCGAAAAAAAATCGGCCAAGCAGTTGGGCGGTGCTAGGGGGTCTCGGCTGCACTTTTTTTATTTTTTTCTTTTTAAATACAAATTCTATTATTATATTATCATATTTTTTATAATATATTAAAATATTTTTGTTTTTCAGATAGTGAACATAATAAAAATAAAAATTTAATTTTAATTTTAGACCCGCCTCAGTGTGACGAACTCAAAATAATTAAATTACACTCATTTATTAAAAAAACAAATACAGCATCAGCCTGTATGGCATTTTGTTTGGGAAGTTGGGAGAACGTTCCTGATACATGATGGAACATTAAAGAGAAAAGTTCAGGTACAGCGCGGACCATCACGTTACCTTGCACCCTCCTCCCTCATTTTTGGGCTGGATTATCTCGCGCTTTATTTTCATTACACTTGCTCTGAAGCACAAGTCGCCGGCTGTTTACTGTTTATTCTCAGGTGATCGGCAGCCGGAAGCTCCGTAAAACGTAGAAAATGACGGCTTCCCAGAAGTTCTCCACGACTTTCCGGCGAAATCCTTCGCTTGCTAAGACGTTGATTGTTTTCGCCGTCAGGTACAGTCTTGTGGCCTGCATGTTATGTAGTGTTTAATGTGAAATTGTTTTCTGGTCTGATCGTGGGACCGTCTCTGGTTGGTTGTTGTTATTGTGTTCATCTGATTTTCAGCTGTTGATTTGGTTAAGTTTAATTTGTCCCTTTTTTTGGGGGGTGTGTGTGCACGACTGATCTATGAAATGGACCAAATGGTGGATCGTGCTTCCATTTCTAAATCATTAGGAAGAAGTTAGTTGTTTAGATATTAAGAGCTCGGTTATGGACCTCCTCTGTTATGTATGGTATATCTTGCATTGTACGATTTAGTATGATTTCCTCTGTGATCTGGATGAACTTGGAGATTTTAGGGGAAATTGGTAAGGTGTGCGTGCCTATGACTTGAGATAGACTTGGATGTTTCTTTAGGTTTTCCACATTTTTTTCATGTCTTAATAGCACAATAAGTTTATGCATTTAATGAATTACTAAATTTAGGAAGGTGTTGGTGTCAGTCAGTCTTAGTTCTTCATTTGGGGTTTCGTGGAAACTAATGAGCTACTATTACATATTTGTTGTTCCATTTGCTCCGAAATATAAATTGATTGTGTGATCATAGTGCGTTCCTCTATTCCCCGCCTGCTGAAAGAGATAACGTAGGCGCTATGATAATGGCCCTCGATAGGACAGATCAAATCTGAACTCCAAAGCTAGGTTGCTGCTGCTAGTAAATAAGAAAGATGCATCCTCCGAAGAGAAACCCCTTTCGATTCATATGTGATCATTTGTGTCATATTTTTTTTTTTTAACAAAAAAATAAATGTTGGTGTGTGGCCTTCAATTAAATAAACATAAAAAAGAGAAAAAATGACTGCATGCTCACTGATCGAATTAGAAGAAAGAAAAAACCGAATAGAAGGCATAAGAGCTAAAGATCAAATCAACTGTGTTGTTATGGATGTCAGCTGAGTGGACCTTTGAAGTTGTAGTAAGCAGAGTATACTTTTGAAGTTACATCTTAACCACACCAGTTTCAAAATTTTGTATATAAATGCAGCGGTGGGGGTCTTGTGGCATTCGCTGAGGCTAAATCAAACAACGGAATAAATGCTGTCAATTCAACTGAGGCTGATAACAAGAAGAAAAGAGTTGTGGTACTTGGAACTGGTTGGGCTGGAACTAGCTTCTTGAAGAACCTGAAGAACTCGTCTTATGATGTTCAGGTGATATCACCACGTAACTTTTTCACATTCACCCCATTACTGCCAAGCGTGACCTGCGGGACCGTAGAACCTCGCAGTATTGTAGAGCCAATACGCAACATTGTGAGAAGAGTAAGTTCTTTTATAGTGACACTATAAATCCTGACCTCTATCAGGAACTTAGCTACTTATTAGTATGTTATTTTTTCCAATTATCTTCAAATAGCTGCTTATTACTCTTCGCACAATGAATGAACAATAGTATCAGACTATAAGATTGCTTTGGCGTTCTTGTTGTCCCCACTTTTCGCTCTTTGTGCTTCAATGATCCCACTGCATTTTCTCTCTCTCTCTCTCTCTCTCTCTCTCTCTCTTTCTCTCTTAATCAATATATTTGTTTGACTTATTGAAGGCGTGGAATATTTTAGCAACTTGGTCTGATCCAGTTTAGACTTTGATTACTTGGGTTTTTTTCTCACCTCCATTAAGTACACTGAGGCATTTTAGCAGCGTTGTGTTTTCGGCTGTAGTTCTAGCACTTAGTTGACTCTTTCTTTCAGAAAAATGTTGTTATTCACTATTGGGAAGCAGAGTGCTTCAAGATTGATGCAGAGAACAAGAAAGTTTACTGTCGATCTAATCTGGCTGGCAACGAAAAAGAAACCGAGGAGATTATTGTCGACTATGACTACCTTGTGATTGCCACTGGAGCCCGTGCCAATACATTTAACATTCCTGGAGTGGCTGAAAATTGCCATTTCCTGAAGGTAACATCCTCAGGCTCCTGTCTTTACTAATATTAGCATTATCCTCTTTAGTTAATTTGATGTCCCAGGCTTATTGAAATAGATTGGTGTAATTTACTTCTCGTGCAGGAAATAGAAGATGCTCAGAGAATCCGAAGGACAATTGTTGATTGTTTCGAGAGGGCCAGTTTGCCTAACCTAACTGATGAAGAAAGAAAGAAAATCCTCCACTTTGTTGTTGTCGGTGGAGGTCCTACCGGCGTGGAATTTGCAGCAGAGCTTCATGATTATGTGAATGAAGATTTGGTCAAGTTGTACCCCAAGGCCAAAGAGGCAATCAAGATTACTCTTCTTGAAGCTACTGACCATATTCTTAACATGTTAGTTTCTGGTTGCTTAAAGTGCATTCATTTAAAAGACACTTCCACTACTACTGCTGCTGCTTTACTGGAACATATTTTGATTGAATTAGTCATAATAATAATGATCCAAATAAAAATCCCTGCGATGGATTATATTTTGCCTCATTGGTTGTGGTCTTAATGCGAGACGTGTGTTCCAGGTTTGACAAAAGAATTACGGCTTTTGCCGAGGAGAAATTTCAGAGGGATGGGATCGATGTTAAAACCGGGGCGATGGTCGTCAAAGTATCGGAAAAAGACATATCCACCAAAGAATTGAAGAACGGCGGGGCCGTGTCCACTATGCCATATGGAATGGTTGTGTGGTCAACCGGAATTGGAACTCGCCCTGTCATAATGGACTTTATGAAGCAAATTGGTCAGGTAATAGTTCTATTTATTCGTTATCGTTGAGTTGATTTCAACATTGAGTAGTAAAAAAGGGAAAAATTGTTGAGAACTGAATTCATGTTCCCCAGGGTAACAGACGCGTACTAGCGACAGATGAGTGGCTGCGAGTAGAAGGAAGTGACAGCATATACGCACTCGGAGATTGTGCCACTATAAATCAACGCAAAGTCATGGTATTCATTAATCAGTTCTTATATATTAAAATCACACCTTAGCTCTATATAAAGATTAATGAAAGTGCATCTTATTATGCCACACGTGCTACTTTATTTAACTTCGTAATGGAACCTGTTGTTCTTTTGCCTTCTATAGACCTTAAAAACTGTGTTAAGTAGAAAGCTCTTCTTATTGAGTTTTGCCTTAATTAACTGCCACTTTTTTACATATGCAGGAAGATATATGTGCTATATTCAATAAAGCCGATAAAGACAGCTCCGGGACACTTACTGTAAGGGAGTTCCAAGAGGTGCTTGATGACATATGTGAGAGGTATCCACAAGTAGGACTTTATTTAAAAAATAAACGGATGAGCAGTTTAGTTGATCTGTTGAAAGAATCCAAAGGAGATGCTGTGAAAGAATCTGTTGAAGTGAATCTCGAGGAATTCAAGTTGGCTCTTTCCCAGGTCGATTCTCAAATGAAGAACCTCCCGGCAACTGCCCAGGTTACAACTTACATTCACATGATGTTCCTGGTGGAATTTGACTTTTTTTCTTTTCCTTAGTTTTTATAAAGAATTATGTGCTTTTCCTGTCGATTAAATTTTCAGGTTGCCGCACAGCAAGGCTCGTATCTTGCCGACTGTTTCAACCGCATGGAGGAGTGTGAGAAGAATCCGGAAGGGCCCTTACGCTTCAGGGGTGAAGGACACCATCGATTTCGCCCTTTCAGGTTTGGCCTTGTTGTTTCTTCATATTTGTATTTTTATTTACTTAACTTTATTGTTATCAAATTCAAACCTAACGGAATATAACTGAGAGAAAGTGTATGTTGAGATTTTTACACAAATTTTGTTTAGAATTTGGAAATTCATACTCGTTTGACCATCTCATAAGCAATGTCTAAAGGTACAAGCATTTTGGGTTGCACGTTGTCTTTTTTCTCATGTATATTCTATACTTCGCTAAAGGTACAAGCATTTTGGACAATTTGCTCCGTTGGGAGGAGAGCAGACAGCAGCCCAGCTTCCGGGAGATTGGGTCTCGATTGGCCACAGCACTCAGTGGCTTTGGTATTCTGTGTATGCCAGGTGGGTCGGGTTGGGTCTTATTCTTCGATTATATCAACATATTAAACTCCAAATAAAGTGCTTTTCTAATTGGATTTTGTTGGCCGATCTTTTCTATGCAGCAAGCTAGTGAGCTGGCGTACTAGGGCACTTGTGATATCCGACTGGGCAAGACGTTTCGTTTTTGGAAGGGACTCAAGTGGTATTTAAGGCGACAAA